TTACATGGGCATACAAATGGTCGTACATGACGCCGGCGCTCACACAGTTTTGATAATGAAGAAAGGAGGGAAATAGGACGGTAATTTGTTGGATCGAATTTGCTGCCCTTATTTTTGTAAATGGGGACAACAACAGAGCGTTTCCAGACAGATGGAAAAATACCAGATGAGAAGGACAGATTAAAAATTAAACTCAATGGATCGCAGATTGACGGACGAAGGATCTTTAGTAGTTCGTTTGTGATACCATCCAGGCCAACTGCCTTGCGCAGCTTGAGGCGTTTGATGTACTAAGCAACGCTGGTAGGAGTTGTTATAATGTCTGTGAAGAAGGAGGTGCTATCAGCGTCAGCAATGGGCGGGATAGTCCACTCGGGATTGTTGGAGGTACCAAATGCTACGAACTGCTTGTTGAAAACATTTGCAACGTCAGAAGGTGACGTAAACGTTTCATCCTGAACAGTTAGTTGCTTTGTGGGCTGTCGCTGGCTGGGTTGTGAACGTATTGATCGGATAAAGGTATGTAGCGTTGGCCGTGATGTTGGCGTTGTGGCCTGTGAGTACAGTGTAAGGGAGTTAGCCTAAGGACGGTGCTCTGAGCGGGAGAGATTGCGGGTGTTGTTCCGTTCTGTCTTGTATCTGGCCTGATTTGCGGGTGTTGGGATTTTTTTGTACAGACTGAATGCACAACGCTTGCGTTTGATCTGAGCTCGCAGGGCTGGTATCAGCCAGGGAGGTTGGGAAAGTTGTGGGCGATTGGATGGCTATCGGATGCGGCGCATAGGAACGTACGACGATATTGTGTTCATCAGTATATGGTTGAGTAAGTCCACTGAATGGGATGGGTTACCAAGAGGAATCTGGAGCTCGCTGAACCACTCGATAGTCGATAAGCACTGGCCAACGAGGGACCACTCTTCGCAGGCTCTGAGGGATGTATCGGATGAAAAAAAGTTGAACTGACTTGGTTCGTCAGGGATGGCAACACTTCGTGTGTCTCGCTGACCTTGTAATTGGAGTCTGGCTAGGACAATGTCGTGGTCGTAGGTACCCAGCGGTGCGGCGGTTGAGAGGTTAGAAAGAAGTAGTGGGTGGTTGGTTATAACCAGGTCTAACGCACAAGCATGACCACTGCGTTGGGAGTAATGTGTGGGAAAGGTAACGAGCTGTGATAGGGAGAGCATTTGAAGCAGACAAAGCAGATGATGACCAACCGCATCTGTGGTCGATCCATACCATTCCCAGCAACGAGCTTTGAATTCCCCAGAGACTAGAAGCATGGAGTCGGGTATAAATAGGCGTTGCAAGATGGATTGAAATTGAGTGAAGAAATTATCGGTTTAGCGGTGTGTCAATGATGGCGGCCTATACACCAATCCTAAATTGAGTTTGGTGAGCTGAGAGTTGGAAGGTAGGGTAAGTTCAACCCACGTCGCCTCCAGATCGGGAAGGTGTAGGTCAGTCCGGTGACGGACTTTAGTAAATATTGCAGTGCGGACTAAAATAGAAACCCCACCGTAGCCCCGTAAATCATTCCTGTTGTGCCGGTTTTCCAGTGTTGGCCGGTCCCTGCGGTAACAGTCATAGCCAGGAACTGTGAGAGGCTGGCTTGCGAATAGCCATGTTTCTGTGAGACAGACAACTAGGGGGTTGTATGTCATAGGAAATCCGCGAGATCGGCCAGTTTGTTATTTATGGAGCGAGCATTTACCGTGGCCACAGAGTAGTGGAATATATCAGCATTTGCGTGTGAAGTTGTGTGCGTGGTTGTGGGTGCAGGACGGAAAGGTGGAGCCAATGGGCTGAGTGTTAAACCAAAGAGCTACCGACTCGTCACGCTATTATCTGTGGTGAGGAAAGTGCTGACATGTATGCTGAACGGTCGAATGCGAACAGCAGTAGACAGCTACGTAAGGGAGTTTCAAGCAGGATTCAGACCAGGCCGCTCAACAGCAGACGGTGTGTTCTATTCAAGAATGCTGTGTGAACTGGCAATGCTTGGTGATTGGTCATACTCAGCAGTGCTGCTGGACTTTACCGGTGCATTCGACACCTTGGTTAGGAGTACAACACTGGTAAGGATGACGGTGGCGGGGGCACAGACATCGACTGTATCAGCATTGATCTCAAACACCACAGCCAGAGTAAAAATTTCCGGTCAGCTTGGAGAGGCCTTCCCCTCAAACATTGGAGTCGTGCAAGGGTTCGGCCACGTGGGCGCTTGATGTCCCGCGTATTAATTGCCATCTCCAGTGCTTGGTGCTTGGACGCTGAGTTAGGTCCTTCGCGAACAACATGGCCCAGCCAGAGCAGTCGATGTCTGCGACAGGTAGTGCTGACTGGGTCTTGTCGCGTTGAGGATTACACCGCAGCATTTGACATGCGGTGAGGGTACAAAACACCAAGCAGGTACCGCAATTTCCTTTGGTGCCATGCGTCCAACCCAGTACTGAGTTGCTGTGTCAGTGCCCATAGTCCGCAGTTATACAACAGAATAGGCAGAATGAGGGCAGAGAACATACAAAGTCTGGAGCTCGGTTTATGACGATTTCACGAAATGGAGCCGAACGCTCTATTCGCAGCACCTATTCTTGCCTGAACATCCTCTGCGAACCCTAACAAAGAGCTAAGCAGCTTGACAGATCGCCAAGAGGAGTCGGCTTTAATTACTATAATTATTATATTGTGTTTCTGATTATTTAACATTAGGTAAAGAAATAAAAAATGTTGCCGAACTCACACTATTCCAGTACATTTGCACTCACACACACTTGCACATACATATCCATTGTCACACTGCACTTGCTGAATTTCCTATCATTTCTCACCTGTATAGTTTTTTTACCTGTGCAATTTTTTTCCTAAGTTTGTTCTATTTTTCTTACTATTCTTGTATCCTCGTGGTTTCACTCCAAGTGCATAAATCCTAATGTAGTTTCATCTTTCGTCTTTTCCTTTTCCTTGTGACTTTTTACTCCTTTCCTTGTTAGCCGGGGGTGGCTATACAAACCCTGCAGTAGCTATCAGAACCCTGCAATCGCATATGCATGATGTAACCGCACACGCACAGGAAGTACATGGGCTCAAAGCTACCTGAGGGATATTTTGAATTTTTGATGGGTGCGTGGTACTCCTGTGAAACTCCCGAGCTATAGCTGCCGAGCACAAGAGATCCCTCTGGCCCTAGATGGTGGTACTGTTGCAGTCCTTGCTGATCTGTTTTTGTGGAAGAGTACTTCTTTCACGTTATGGTGGGCTGTTGGTCAGCAAAAGACGCTTCGTAGCGGCTTCATTCGAGTTTCTTTGACGGAAGAGATTAAGCTCATATCTCGGTGCTGGTAGCGAAAAGGTATATGATGGAGGCACTCCGGGTGTGCTTTCCATCTAACTCAGCAAGTTTTTGGTGCGTGTTTTTGGCCGTGACGCCGAGACCTCAGGTCGGCAGAGTCATCAATGCCCCACCATCACTGCTGCGTCTCGGTGCAGCTGCTGATCATTAGTTGTCACATTTGTCTTAGTCTCTGTACCATTGTCTGTCCGTATTCTTTTCGAGCTGGTTATGTGAACATAGTAAAAAAAAATCTTCAATCGAAATTTGGAAGGCTAAACCTTACTAGGTAACTTCGATCCACGTGAGAGCATAGTTGGTTTAGCTGGCGCAGCTTTGTTGTGATCAGCAGTGACCTTTGGTTCTTGTACCTTGTCTCAATGCGTATTGTAGTCGAATCTTTTTTTTTATTTTGCACAATATCCAAGTGTTAGGTACCTCCTCCATTACGTTCTACAACCTTTTCCAAGCTGGCCTGCATGCACCCTCGTACTTACCTTTTGTCTCCTTTTGTCGCCTTTCGTTCCGTTGACCTGGGTAGCTACTTACCCGCCCATATTTGACATAGCTACCCAGGCCCTTTATCTTCCCACCCTCATTCGATCTCGCTTTCTCTTCCAGTCGTTTCGTTCGTCTTTGTCTCCGTCTCTTCGTCTATAATAAATGTCTTCCCAACTACCAGTTCCCGTTGTCCGTTGTGTCTGAGAATCATGACTCCTCTTCGTACCCTACACAAGGAACAAGGCGAACAAGGTCCACTCAGGGATAAACGAAGTCAACTTTGAGCGAAATCGGAAATTTGGCCATGTGGGGTGACATATGTTTTCGTTACATAAATTGACCCTTAACTCTAATTTCAACCTTTGAGACGTACCAAAGCATGCACAGATTCCTACTGGACCACACAGAGGCGCAAAACATGTTTCGCCCTTCGGGGCTCAATGATTCTTCATTGCGGAAACGACACGTCGTTAGAATGCGTATTCTCCCGGCGTACCAACGAGCTCTCGTTCTTGACAATCAAAGAAAGGACAGTGGAGTTACGGCAATAGCAACTGGGATGTATATGCACTGCACCAACTGGCATAGTTGCAAGCGAGTTAAACCATACTTCGCATTTGCGACGTTCTTGAAAATGACTAAGTGCGTCTTTCGGGATCAAAGATCGTCATAGTGTGATATGCTAAAAGTATGAATGAGAAGCAAACTCACTTGACTTCCCTTGAGAAGGGTCATCTGCGCCATAAATCTTGAGAATGGTGCCATTATTGTTTACGTGAAACTATCATTTTTGTGCTGCTCTCATGCGATATTGGAGTCTCAATATGTTGTGGGGAAGAGGTGGGGGCGGGGGTGTATGTCATTTTAACGTTGATCGTACCTATTCCTCGGCATGGCTCTCGCCTATTAGTTGATTATGCACAATCTCGGAAACAACATCATCCATCAAAGGATATGACTGTTTGAATTATCTGTTTTTACATACAGGTGCTTTTAACAAGGCACAAAACGAAATGATCCCCTTTTTTGGTCTGGGTGCTAAATCGATATTGGTCATAGTAATCAACCTAGCTCAATATCATGCCTTTGGATTGTCTCGGCACCTTCTTTCAGCTAGTGCCAATACCTGCTCATGTGTGTGCGTGTGTGGCTGTTCAAAACGGCCACCTACCTTTCGGTACATATCGCTGGCAGAGGTACATGAGCATGCTGTTCTTGTCGGTGTTCTCCAGGCCATTCCTTTCTGGCCAGTAGTATCCGTATTTCATATCCTCGTCAATCATGGGGTTTTGAGATGTCCATGGAGGTGCTGATCCGGAAGGAAATTGAGTAACTTCCCAGTTCCAGGCCGTCCATGTTCCTCCGCGCCTAGGCCAGGTACCTTTCAGGCCTACCCATACACCACAACCCGTCATTGCTCTACTAGATGAACAGTTTTGGGTGGATGTTCTTGTCACCGTCGAGCTTGCACACCTACGTTGCGTTATTGTTTGGGCAGTAGCTAGGTTCCCACCTGCGTCCTTACATCTCTCCTTTGCATCCTCCCACTTTTCTCGTGTTTCGCAAAATGCCCAATCTACTTGCCATGTCCTAGCATTGGTTTGGGCACAGGTTTTCCATATCACTGCATGGAGTAAGAATTGTGCAAAAGACAGCCAAGACAAATGGTTAAGTAGTAGAGCCCACACGCTCTCCTCCATTAACCCTGGAACAGTTCAACTCATTTAATAATATTACGTTTCGGCAAATCGCCTTCATCAGGTTAACAATGATGTGCAAGCTCCCAAACCAGCATTGCTAAAGGCCAACAACTCCCTGTCATTAAGAGGGTGTGAGATTTATTATTATTATTATTATTATAGGCTTTTCCGCGTTGGCATCGCCAAGCAAGCTTGGCTAGCCTTCGCATAAACTGCTCCATGATGATGAGACGAAACAATGAATGCATGTATATACGATCTAGGACAGAACCGAGGTTGAGGGTATTTTTGAAGTAAGCTGAAAGTTGTGTTGAGGAACACAAAGTCGCAAACTCTACGAAAGTAAACTGCAAAAAATGTTTTGGGGTTGATTTCATGATTATTGTAGTCACAGGTTGTGTTAGAAGCATTAAAGAGGATGTGAGAAGCAGCGCGAAAAGGTTTTCAGCTAATACTAGCGCTAACATCGACTATCAGTGGAGGGGACTACAGCTGAGGTAAAACCAAAACAACACATCATTTAGCGCCGATGTCATGATAATCAGACAATAAACGAGTGGCGATACAAATTACAGCAATGACCACTCAGCGTTAGTGTTTATCTTTGGAGCCAAATTTCTGATCTCCACAGCCTCCCTCAATTTCCTGCTAGCTCTGTCGCCTTCTCGAGCGAGGACTGATACTGCTGTGAAGGCGCAGCCTCAATCTCCTGCGCGGATGCTTGCTTCTCATATGGTCACCCCAAGGCTTGTCACGAGTGCTTCGACGTGCTTCTCCATTGTGTTCATTTAGACGGGTCTCTAGTGATCGTTCTGTCTCTCCAACGTAATATTCCGTTTACCATTTGCAATCTATTCTGTATACTACATTCTTTTTCATGCAAACATTCTCCCCACCGTATTCACAAGTAATACATGGCTCAAGCGGGTGGCCTCGTCTCCTACGTTGCGTAACATTCTGCTCCTTGACACACTGGGGTAGAGACTGTGCTGAACGACACAATTCATTACGGAGACTGCCCGAGTGCTCATAAACTACTCTTACCGGCTGTTTGTACTTGCGAATGGCCCTGTTCACCCTATGGTGTACTTGATCTGACTTAAACGGTAGTTTAAGGAATGCACAGCGTGGGTTTCCTCTGCGTCGACGTTTAGGCTTCCTTGCCGCTTGTCTTGCCTCTGATATGATGTTTTCTGGATAATGGTTCAGGAGTAGTTGTTGGTGTATCTTATGTTCACTTTCCGCCCGCATCTGAGCATTGGATGAGAGTCGCTGTGCCCTCAAGAATTCGACTGTGCGACGGCCAACTTGACATGAGTAGGGACTGAAGATGCGTAGTCAACTAACAGACCACTGCTGCACGGCATCTGAAATAGTCTATATGAAAATTCGACTGACTTTTGAACAGCGATGTTGACATCCATATAGTCTAGGCAGCTCCTGTCGCAGGTCAGATCATAGGTGAACTTGATTCGAGGGTGGACGTTGTGCAATCGGTCAATCAGCTCCATAAGTCGCTGTTTTCCATGGATCCAGAGGATAATGATATCATCAATATACCTTCTATACAGAATTGGCGCAAGGGTTGAGTCCTGGAGAATACGTGTTTCAATGGTGTGCATAAACACAATTGCAAATAGTGGTGCAAGATTATTGCCCATAGCTACCCCGTCAAGCTGATGGTAAATTTGGTGACCGAATCTGACGTAATTGTGAGTAAGAACGAATCTGAGCAAGCTTTTGGCTTGGCAGACATCGAGGCCAAATATTACTATTTGCTGAAAATGCTCACCTAGGATGTCGCCGACGGCATCAACGCCTTCCTCAATTCGGATACTCGGGTACAAGCCCACCACATCCATCGTGGCTAGAATTGCTTCTTGTGGGGCCTTGAGATTAGGGCGTCAGGCGAAATTACTGGTTAGTCAGCGACACGCATTTTTCACAAAAATTTGCGTTTCACCTGCTGGGAGAGTTTGCGTGTACTCGAGTCTCATCCTGAGCACGTTTTTTTCTTCTTTTTTCAGCTCCAGTATAGCTGTATTTTTCATTGCAAAGCCGTCCTCGATTGGTGTGTTCGTTGTTCAAACGAAGTGGACATTCAATCATGAAGGCAGAGGACATAGGAGCCTGATTGGAGTTTCTCGTGGCATAGGACGGCGACACAGAGACACTTTGGGATTTTCTGAATATAAAATACCGTACGCACGATGCTGAGATCAGTTTGTGCGATATCAAATTATTTGTGATCTACCACATCGAGCAGAACGGGATCCAAACACAAACTTACCGACGGTTAGGCTGCTGACCTGACTGGACAAATGATCCCTGGCTTCACCAGACGCCAGAAGTCGGACCATGTCCTTTGCCGCGACGTCCATCTCCAAAAAGAACTCCATCTTCGTCGTGAAAAGGCTTGAAATACTCAATATTCAACCGAGATTCGCGGTCTCACCCTTTCTCAGATCGAATCATTTTTTGTTGTAGCTGTTGCAAGGCAGATCCCCGCCACTACTTCAACAGGCGATGGCTCCAAAGCATGCCTGGAACAGGCCATATCGAGGTTGCAAGCCACGCCTCTCAGCAAAAAATTCGAAGAAATTCGAAATTTCAATGGTGGAAGATATACTATGAAGAGAATAGGCATGGAACCACAGGCGATGATGCCATAGCTGACACACAGAGTAACACACACACAGCAGATTTGTGTGCACAGATACTAAATTCGTGGACGTCGTCATCTTCTTCCCGCTGATCTCAAATGTACTATGACGTGCTATTTCGCCTGACGGCATATCGTGTGTAAATGATCGAGGGCTCCTTTGGTATTGGTAAGGTGCGCAGGGACATTATCTAGTAATTGATGAAGTATACGTTCTAGCACAATCGAAATTCCGGGGACTGGACTGTCACGCGCAGATACGACGGGTCGGAGGGGTAAATTCTCCTTATGGTCTTTTGGCAAACCATAGAATTCGGGAAATCTCGTGTCGCTGGGAAGTATTGCCCTCAGTAGTTCGGGATCCATTCCCATACACTGTTCGTTCAAAGTGCGCCTTACTTTTCTCTCCAACTCTGTAACTGTGATGTCAACTTTCTTGTACATTGAGGTATCGGACAGAATTGCCTCCGCTTTCTCCAAATGGTGTGTTTGTTTCATTGCCACTAGCTTTCTACTCTTATCAGAGTGCTTGATTATAGTACTCGAGTTGCTGCGAAGTCTTGCTAGCTCCTCGCGCTCCTCTTTGGTGATGTTTGGCTTCGGGGGTCGGTGTGCGTCGTAAGCTGCCAGAACGTCATCCTTGAAGTTAGCAAGCTTCCTCTCCTCATCCTGGGCCATTTTTGGAGGCTGCTTGTATCCTCTCTTTTTCGATTTCCACAGCTTACGATCAGCTCCCGTTCCGGGATCAGGGTCACCATCGGAGAGGTCCACTTCCTGGGGCTGCGCCTGCTGCCACCTTACGGTATAGGCCATCCGCTCAACAGATGTGACCACCTCAGATCGTTCACGTTTTTTGAATTTCCCGGTGACGGTACAAACCTGGCCCAAGCTCCAACAGCCGCCTGGATTCCTCCGGAAGGCAAGAGTCAACGACTAGTGCGCGGCCGCCACTCTCCATCACGCCCTGGTCTGAACAATTATCCGTTTGGTGACTCTGAACAGGAGATGTGGCACGACCAGCCCCATGTGCCATTTCCCTGTTAACATCCGAGCGGAGTCTGGATAGCTTGTGGCGTAGACTTACATTTGACGTGATGCGCTCGTCCAGTGTGACACATCGCTGTAGAGCTTTGAATTGAAATGTAGTCCTCCCTGCAGAATGTCCAGAGCGGCTCCCGATATTGTCTGCACTGTCTCCAACGGTATTCCTTCTCCGCGCACTTGTCCTGTGTTGCATCGCTCAGAAGACGGAGGCAGTACTCGAATCGTCGTCGGTGGCGGATGCCCTTGTGTCTTGATTCTGGAGGCGGCCGCACCGACCTGGTGATGAAGCCAGGAATAAGGCGTTCCCTTCGGCACTGTAGCAGAAGTGATAGCTGGCATTCGGTCCGTTGAAGATTGCACGACCATTGCAAATAATGCCATGGCGCCTCACTCCTGGAAGAGGAGAACAAACTAAGTAAAAGTGGGGAGGCTTCCTGCAGTTTCATATACAGTTACGTAGTAGAGCCCACACGCTCTCTTCCATTAACAGTTTAACACTGCAACAGTTCACCTCATTTCACAATATTACAACGTTTAAATTTCCTTCATGAGGTTCACAATGATCTGCAAGATAAATGGTGATTGCAAAAATGCTACGTTTGGAAGAGCGAGTGATGTAAACCTGGAAGTGTGAAACTGATTTACTTCAATCGTGTTAACAAAGAATCTCGATACATGTGCTATTCGTTCACACTGAGAACTTTCCAACATATGTGTATTGGCACATTTAGGGTACCCTGTAAGAAGGCCTTAGGCCTGTGGGGATTGCCCTATCAAAAATTTAATAATAATAATGTTGAACAGTCTCTGCTGGGATGACGACTACACCATAGCTCAGTGGTTAGAGCATCGCTAGCTACAAGCGAGGGTCCCTGGTTCGAGTCCTGGTGGTGACAGTCAATTTTTTATTCAGACTTTTCCCGGTTGTCTCTTTACCTCAAACTAGTGAAAATAGTAATAATGTCATCATTTAATAAGGATGGCGTAACTCTCCCTGAAGATGCCCTCTTGGGCGAAAATTTGGAAAGGAGTTTGAAGTTAGGTTTTGAGAGATTTGGAGAGACTTTAATTTTTTTTGTAGCCAAGGACTTTGTGCGGCCGTGGGCGGTGAAAGAAAATTAGAAATCAATAATGTCATCCTCATTTTTATCTAACACAAGGAAACCCATCCAGGAGCCAGAACACTTTTCGAAATTTGACTAGTGGTAAAAAATTAGT